TGCCTATTTGTAGTTCTTAAAAGTAATACATAGTAATCCCCTCAGCTACATGTGTTGGAGTTAAACTAATGATGACAGACAGTCCGAGCTTTAGTAAAGATAAAAGAAAAAAAAAAAGCCACAGTATTTGTGAGATGTACACAATAACGGATGCCGTAAGTGTGTGGTTGAAACTGATCCTTGTAATCTTTGCTGCAGCCTGAGGAATCTTAGGATTTTCCCCGATGAAAAAAATATTGTGTTTTAATTACATTTTTTTTTCTTTCATTGTTTTTCTCACTCATCACCCTCCCTCTCTCTTGCCTACATTTCCTTCCATTTGCTTTCATACTTCTTTTTTTCCTTCCGTTGTCATCAGTTTTACAGTGCCTCCTATGACACATGTTAATGCATTTCCATGTTGCCTGGTATCCTTATTATGTGGGATCACTGTGCTGTACATTAATTTCCTGTTTTCCTTGGTCACATCCTCCTCTTGGTGCTACACTTGGAGGCAACATTTAAATAACTGAATATAGAAACTACCAAGGATGCACCTTTTTGATGTTTTTCTTTTTTCACCTGTATATTTTTGAAGGGTGTGACAGCTGTTTTCATGGTTACCTTGTAAAAAGAAAAAAAAGCCTTGTATTTATTTCTCCAAAAACAAATAAAGGGTTTATCTAATTATGCAAGACTGAACAGACACCGAGCAGCTGTGCTATGGGGTTTTCAGATGTTTTTAATAGTTTCTTGCAACAGAGCTACAAGTCAGGATCATATATTATCTCCCCTTTACAGTAAATGAAAGAAGCATTTTTAAATTCTCAGATGACATACTGTTGGTCTGTTTTCATTTGAGCTTAAATGAGCCCATTTTGGTAAACACCTTTAAATCACATGCAAAACTTTTAAGTTTCATCAAAACCAGTTCAAGCAAGGCAAGGCAAGGCAAATTTATTTGTATAGCACAATTCAGTACAAAGACAATGCAAAGTGCTTTACATGATTAAAATATTGGAAAATAAAAAGTGAGTAGGAAAAAGAAATACCAAAAAAAAAAGAAAAAAAGAACATTAAAAACAGTTGGACTAAAGAAAATAAAAAAGTTGAACTAATAATGTTTTAGTTGAACTGTTTAACTAGAACAGTCGAAGGCAATTCTAAACTAATCTGTTTTTAAAAGGAACTCAGGCTTTCCGCACTTTTACAGTTTTCTGGAAGTTTGTTCCGTATAAGTGGAGCATAGGAACTAAATGCTGCTTCTCCATGTTTAGTTCTGGTTCTAGGTATGCAGAGCAGGCTGGAGCCAGAAGACCTGAGTGGTCTGGAGGGTTGATACACTGATAGCAAGTCTGTGATTTATTTAGGTGCTAAGCCATTCAGAGATTAAAAAAGCGGTAAATATGTTACACCATATTATATACAATTAACTGCATTAAAGTTAAAATGTATTAAAAAAAATAGGTTCTGTATTTCTAACAAACATTGTATTGTTAATTGGTGCTAGTTTTATCATTATTTTGTACTATGAATCAAAGCTGGTCCATGCATTGACGGATGAGTTGCAAAATAGAACAAACTATGAAAGCACCATGAGAGCGCAGACCTTCACCAAGCAGCAGGTTTTGCCCCATATTGTGATTACACCTATAGCTAAAACTCGCTGGATCATTACCAAATTTTAATGAATTGTTCCTTGGCAATTTCCGTAAAATCCTTTCATGAATTTATAAATACTGCACAACCTTGTTGAATTTCATATGCATTTGAAATAGAATTGATTTGGCTGTTACATAACCCCCTGGATTAGAACACAGTGCTACCCAAGAAAGATGCCTGCTCCAATTGGATATTTAAGTTTGAGTGAAAGTTGCCCTTTTCTCCAAAACTGCCTTTTGGAGAAAAGGACACAGATTCATTTATTATGCTACAAGGAATTGACTCCTTAAATGTTTTTCTAAAGTAAAGGTCAGACTTTTAAACCTAAGAACCTTGTATAAGTTGCCAGGCATGGTGTTGGTAGTCTTATCTTCTAGGTTTCGTTTAACTTTCAGTGGTAGTATTGCCTTTTTTTTATATTCAAGAGGAAAAACTACTTTATGAAAAGCTTGAAATACAAATATTAATAGCAATAAGGATACGTTTGAGAGTATAATTTAAGTTGTAGACTCTGGTTTAACTGTACAAAGACGATTTTAATATAAATATATAGACCTATTTTATAGTCCTGCTTATTGATGAAAAAGGCAAATACACAGAATCAATTATTAATAGTTCGTCTTGTTGTTAAATTGATATGATATGACCGTTGTTCTCCTTTAAACAATTAATATGCTAGAATTTTCATGAATAAATGGTCTAATTTATTTCTCAGTATCTGCAATGATGGCATTTAATACTCCTGTTTGTCTTGCTAAACCACTAGCTCCTGCTATTTTTTGCCTAATTGTAAATAAAAAATCAAACTCCTGACTTCTGGATTTTTGCAAGACATTAACCACATATCTGATATAAGGCCACTTAGAGCTGCTTTTTTTTTTTTTTTTTTTTTTTTTTTTAGCAAAAACATCTCCCAAACAGATAATAATGTTTTTAAGGACCCTAGATATAATAAATGGCTGTAAGTGACTCAGATGGGGCAGAACTGCTTCCAGAACATTAGGATTTTTACTGAGACGATTCATAAGGAACATGTGCAAAGAAACATCATCTGTGTAAGCTCGATTCTGAGACATAATTAAAGGGTTTAAATGTTGTGTGAAGTTTTTCTCTGATCCAGGACCAGCAAGATGGGATCCTTAACATAGCAGCATCTTTTTGCATCATTTGAGCCATCTCAGATGTAGCCACTAAATTTCTGCACATTATTTCCCACAATCTCTTTTTCCTTGTTGCCATAGCCAGATTGTGTTTGTGTTTTCTAGGGTGTGGACTGTGTGGTTACTGAGTTGGTGGCTGATTGTATTAGCAAGCAAAGCTGGTTTGGAACAAGAAATAATGTGACTCATACTGTACTTCTTCTCTGTTGCTCCTCACTCACTCTATCTTTCTTTTGATCCAGGGCAAAATGATGCGATACAGGCTTGACAACCGCTACAGACTTGTAGGATGATCAAAGGTTATAGTAAATCAACAAATGTATGCTCTTAGGCTACTTGATGCAATTATTTTGAAAAGTATTTCTTGAGCACAAATACCATCATGAATGTAAATGTTTAAATGCTATATTGTGACAGATTACTTTACACTGTAAAGGCAATGGGAAATTAATGTAATCTTTATTTACAACACCCATTATTTTTCTGGTGAGGTCAAATATCATAAAATCATATTTCCTCTTTTTGCGTAAATATCAAATATTAATTGTGCCTAGTAGTCACACACAGTCCGAATACCAAAAACCATCCCCTTTGTGGCGTTTGTGATCAACAGACATAAACAATATACGGGATTGACATCTGCTTGTCAGCTTAAATGAACAGTAAAGTTCATCAGGTATTCCAAACACTACTCATGTTTGATCCCTTTCAGCATCTAAGATTTTTGAGGACTTTTTCCCCCTTTTTTTTACACTCCTAAAGGAGTCGCTAGGCTCAATTACTTTCTTGTTTGCCATTGCATGCATGTATAATATCGTACCTTCCGTCACATGATCTTGATATGGTAAATACTGGAAAATCTTAAGCTTACAAACAAAATGACTGAATTGTAATACACAGAAATAAAATGCAATTATCCAACAGGATGCCAGCCTCTCTATGCAACCAGAATGAGCTATCGGTTAGAAATCCGTAAAGTCGTAGTATATGACTAAGCCCTCTTTTAAGATGGTAATTTTTTTAATCAGTGACATCTTTTTTTTTTTTTTGAGGTTTTTACTGCACTAGTGGCCTGTTTTTTGTACAGTTGGCTGACGAGAAATTGTGTACGAGAGGGGGAGAGAAATACGGCAAAGGACCACAGGTCCGATTAGAATTTGGGTCGGCCACATTGAGCACTAGGACTTCCGTACATGGGTCGTGCGTGCTAACCCCAGCGCCACCGAAACATGCCCATCAGTGACATCCTGTGTCCTGATTATAATTTAACATGTTTTTTCAGAGAAATCCATCCTTTTCATTTGAAAAACAAATATAACTTGTTAACCCCAAACATATAATGCAAATAGTTTATTTATGTTTAAAAAATGTTGTGCAAAAAATGTGGGAGGCCTTTTACAATCCCTATAAAATAATGAATGAAGGCTTGTCTTCATATATGTATGTTACTTTTTACCTGATTTGAGTATCCAAGATGTTTCAAATAGTTAGTAATTACTTTGGGTATTTAAGACCAACTTCTTTTAATTACTGTTCGAAATAGGCAAGACAAGAAACAGGAAAACTTAGTAATTCAGATATGTTAGCATAGGACATCTGTAACCAAGCTATACAAAGATTAAAGTTTATCTCGCTATGTCTCACTATAACGATGGTGAAGAAATTGTAACGATCACAGTTAGAAAACAATCATAAATAGTCGTAAAACCCTGAAGGGTTAGCTCATGCTGAAAGATTCTAGTTTGTGTGAAGTGGGATTTATCTGTTCACCGGCATCTAGTCCTGCCATTCTATACTAGAATGAGTTGTAATGTTTTTCTACCTGTTTTTAAATCTAGAGAAACAAGCTTCTTTCCCCCCCCCAGCTACAATACAGGTAGCTGCATTCCTGTAGAAGACAGAAAAAAGTCTGTTTCTATGATGTGATTTTTTTTCCAAAAAAGCGCTTTAAATTAAAGCTTATGCTGCTTTTAGATCAAAGACTGGGATGAGAAAATCATCGTTTACAGTACTGGATGGTTGAAGTTTCCAGAAACTGTGTTTGATGTGATGGAAACAACTTTTTGTATATTTTGTGCAGTAAGTGAATCACCATGTGCTTTATGAGTGTTTTAGAACTGGGTTAGTGAGGCAACACATGAACAATTGAACTGTAACTGGAAGAAGTGCATATTTATCTTATGTTCCATCTCTGTAAAGTTATGCAGGTCGTGTAGTTGGCAGCACTTTGAAAGCCCAGAAGGAGAACCCAGAGATGTCTATACGTCATATAGATCCTGCCCTCAAAGAGGTGAAACAAAGGCTGGAGCAGCTAACGCAGGTAAAAAGATACTGATACTGTTTTTTTTTACTTTTCCACTTTCTTATATTAACTAATTAAATTTGTATTTGTTGTTCAGGTTATAAACTTATATGATCCTATAAAGAGACACAAAACTACCAGCCACAGTAAGCAGTCGTAGATAATAATGTCTATTTCTTTTAGAATTTGAAGCAAACAGTTTGATCTAAAACAAAGAAACAAACAAAATCTGGTAATTGAAAGTATTAATCTTAAACTGGGGAAGTTGAGCAATAGCTTCAGTGTTTAATGGAAGAGCTGTAAAACTCACTTGTTTATGTTTTATTAATTAAAACCCCCAAAAAAGTGTAGAGTTAGGGTTTTTGTCTTTTTAAATACTTTTCTTGTTTTGATTAAGTTTTTACTTTTACTCGTCATCTTGTGATTTATCCAGGACTGTGTTTAGGAGAAACAGTCGATAAATTTGAACGACTTTCCTCTCCCCTGACACCTCCTTCAGTTCCTTTAGTGCAGTGGTCTCCAACTCCCAAGAGACCGTTGCTGCAGACCTGCACTGTCAGGACCCCTTGGTGCAGAACTGCACTGCTCTGTCAGAACCGGAATTTTATCTGAAGCCTTTCAAATTAGAAGGGAAATAAAATCTGGTATATCAGAAATATTTTATATTCCCATGTATATTTCCTGGGTCTTCACACTAGAAATACCTTTTGTCTATTCGTGTGTTTCAGGATTTATATATAATCTCTTTCCAGTTCAGCTGGAAAAGGTTAAAAAAACAAGAAAATGTCACAATAACAACATTAACTCAGTTATTTTATAAAGCAATCTCTAATGTGTGTTTGCAAGTATTATATATTCTTTATTTTAGTATAGTTTGTGCTATGTTCTTACCTTTGCTGTTGGACCGGATAGATTTGCCAATGGAGGGTGTGTGATTTCAAATTAACTTGGCTTTTGTACTCACACTTAATTAATTACTGAATACCTAGATACATGACCAAAATAGCCAATAACTTCTGTCTCTTTTTTCCACACAACACAAGAGAAAATAGCAGACGCAAAAAGAAACTTTCAAATGTCTATTTAATGTGTATCATTAACACTGTTTTTGTTGTTGAAACAGCAGATTCAGTTCCAGTGGGAGTCACAAGAGAAACACATGTCTGTAAGAGACAGATAATGTTGCAATAAGTAAAAGAAAATCACCCAAAAAGTTATGATATCACATGCTTTTTTTTGTCTTTAATTAGGGAAAAGTTTAAGTGAGTACTCACTTCGCAAAAAAAACATATCTTCTTCTTCTTCTTATAAATCCTGCAGCACATACACTCCTGATCAGAATCTCGAGACCAGTCAAAAAATTGCAAGAATTTGCATTTTGCACTATTAGATCTAAAGAAGGTTCTAAGTAGAGCTTCACAATGTTAAAAGAAGAATTCAGCATAAGAGACAAAAACTTTTGAGCGGGAATTAATTGAAAACTGCATTTACATCTAAACAGGATTTTTTTCAGCTGATCAAAAGTTTAAGACCATAGCTCAATAAACCCCAAACCCCCCAAAACAGAAATCAAAGTGTCAAAAAAAAGGACTCAGTAATGAGTAGCTCCACCATTTTTGTTGATGACTTCAAACAATCGTTTAGGCATGCTTGATGCCAGTGTTTCCAGGAGGCTAGTGGGAACGTTGCTTCAAGTGTTGAAGATGGCTTCACGAAGGGCATCCACTGTCTGGAACTGATGTCCATTTTTGTTAACTTCCCTTGCCATCCATCCCCAAATGTTCTCAATTGGGTTTAGATCCGGGGAACATGCAGGATGGTCCAAAAGAGTGATGTCATTCTCTTGGAAGAACTCCTTTGTCAGGCGGGCATTGTGAACTGCAACATTGCCCTGTTGAAAAACCCAATCTTTACCACATAGACGAGGGCCCTCAGTCATGAGGGATGCCCGCTGCAACATCTCCACATAGCCATCTGCTGTTTGATGCCCCTGCACAACCTGAAGCTCCATTGTTCCATTGAAGGAAAATGCACCCCAAATCATGATGGCGCCCCCACCACCGTGCTGTGTAGAAAACATCTCAGGTGGGATCTCCTTGTCATGCCAGTAACGTTGGAAGCCATAAGGACCATCAAGGTAAAAAATTTTCTCATCAGAGATCACAACTTTCTTCCACCTATCAATGTCCCATGTTTGGTGCACCCTTGCAAAGTCCAAACGGGCAATTTTGTGGCGTTGAAGAAGACGTGGCCTTTGAAGACGTTTTTTGTTTCTGAAGCCCTTCTCTCGCAGACGCCGTCTGATGGTTATTGGGCTGCAGTCAGCACCAGTAATGACCTTAATTTGGGTAGAGGATCATCCTGTGTCTTGACGGACAGCCAATCGGATCCTGCGGCTCAGAGCTGTTGAAATTTTTTTGGGTCTACCACTTGACTTTTTTGTTCCATAACCCTCAGGATAATTTAAAATATGCAAAATGACTGTCTCGCTGCGTCCAACCTCAGCAGCGATCGCACGTTGTGAGAGGCCTTGCTTATGCAGCTCAACAATCCTATCACGTTCAAAGTCAGTGAGCTTTTTTGCTTTTGCCATCAGGAGGTCTTGACATTGTAAAGACTTGATAGAAAATTACATGGAATCCCGATTTTTGCACAGCTTTTGGCTTTTAAAGACTATGGTCTTAAACTTTTGATCAGCTGAAAAAATAATGTTTGAGTGTAAATGCAGTTTTCAGAAAATTCCCTGCTCAAAAGTCTCTTTTGTGCTCTCTTTTTCAAGACCATTTTCCCATTCAACTCGCTTATCTTCATCCCTTTTGTTTTGCATGTGGCATCCCAATTCTAATCTATCTTCTACAAATATTTTGATTACTCACTGGTTTTCTAGATGCCTCAAAATGTAGCAGCTGCAAGTACTATAAATTCACACAAGCTTTTACATCATCAGACACATATTAACGTTTTTTTTTTTAGTTTATACTAGATTAATATTTTATTAAGAGCAAACTAATTCTTCATTTTAATGTGGATTAACTTGCGTATATGGCATCATACTTGAACAGTCAATAATCACTTTAGTATCTTCTATTGTCATTAAAAAAGCAAACACATTTATAACTATGAGTGAGTATTGTTGTGAACATCCTCTGAAACTTTCCATAAAAGTTTTGAAATTCCGCTGAGGTATTTTACTCTTATGAACACAACAGTAATCTATCCTGCAACTTCATTACTTAGCCAAGAAAGCACCGTGATACTTTAATGAGTAGCAAACATATAGATAATTCAATGTAACCTTAGATGTTAATCTTGCTGAGATTTATTTTGGCCTCTATCAGTCCTAATAATTATGGTGATAACACTTATCTCACTGTTATTTCCAGGTCAGCACCTTCAGAACTTCTGAATGTCATTCAGATCTTCAGCTCAACGCTTTTTTGCTCAGATCGATGTAATTCAAAGAAACTAAAATAATGTTTTCATATTTATGTTTACATTTGTAATTGAAAATTATGAGATAGGCTTAGCCTCTTCCTTCTGCGTTTGCTTTTAAAGCTCTTTTTCTTCCCCCTTTAATCTTGTTGTAAGGTCCATTAATCATGCTGCATTTAACACATGTAACTGTGAAGTCAGCACTTAGAGGGTGAGTGTGTGGTTTGCGGTGGTTTTGTCATAAACACAAAAATGTGCACTACACAAGCACCACATAATCATTTATGTATGAGATTTCTAGGCCTCATTAATTCGATGTAAGTGGTCCTTTATGTTTTACAGAACATTGAATCTTATTTAGTTTTTTTTTATTTTTTTTTTACTTCTCTTATAGAATTAAGAAAAGTTCTTTTTTGTTAATGCTGCGGTAACAAGTCCAAAGATGGGAACAAAGGGCCAAAGATGATTTTTTTTTTCTATGTAATTTATTTTCTAAAGGATGTGATCTGTTCAACTTTTTGGTACAGGGAATTCAAGTCTACTCACAAAGTAACAACTAAGTTTAACAAGCTTTCGTTGTTAATTAGAGGTTTATTGTAACTCTTTTATAGAGCATGATGGTGCAGTCACCTACTTTTTAAAGGTTGATATTTGTCTGGAATACAGCTAATGTAGGCCATCAGTTTATTATATGTCCTTCCTTTCTTGTGCCATTTATACACTAGATAGATAGATAGATAGATAGATAGATAGATAGATAGATAGACAGACAGACAGACAGACAGACAGACAGACAGACAGACAGACAGACAGACAGACAGACAGAGAAAATTTAACACTACAGAACGAAGAATCTTTACAATTTTCATACTTTCTGAAGCTATGTCTCAATGTGTTTTTGTGTTTTGTGTTATATGATAATAAATCTTTTCCAGGAAGGAATAAGGGAAGTTTGCCTATGCCTTTTTCGTTAACAGAGATTATTTGAGTCCAGTCATTTATAGCTCCAATCAAGATTTGTGTGTACATACTCAGCCAATCACAATGAGCCTAATGAGTCTTATGGGAAAAGCCATTTTATGAAGTGACAGGAGATGACAGCATGGGCAAGGATGGCTTCATTAAAATGTTTTTGCTTCGCTCTTCCCATGAGGCGCCGGTCATCTAATGAAAATATCACGTTATTCACCTTTGACCCCAGAAACCCAAATTTGTATCACAATGTAAGATAATAATTTTTCTCCCCTTTTTCATTTTTAGTTGTTACTTTTTAAGCTGTTAACCTAGAAGGATAATTAAAAATTGTTCCTAAGACACCTTTTTAAAACCAGAGAGTTGCACTTCCTGTTATACCTCAGTATTTAATTTTCTTACACTGGGGTAATACCTTTAGAATGAAAGTAAATATGTAGTGCAATTAAAGTAAGCATTTATTTTGCTAATAAATCTTACCTATTACCCAGTGTTAGATAAACTGACACTGTATAGCAACACCTATACATGTTAATGATAAGATAATGCTTTGGTAACTAAATGCTGCTGTCAATTTCCAATATTATTTCTAAAAAAAATTTTTTCTAAACATTTTTTTTTTGGCTTTGTATAGCTTAATTCATTCTAATGAGTTTACAAATACAGTTTTTAAAAGCTCTAAAACACAATAAAGAAAGAATAAACGGGAGTGGTTTTACAACATGTCCTAATTATTCATACGCTACTTAACAGTACTTGTAATTTGTCCCAAATGTTTGCACCGATCTTAGAAAAAGCCTTTTGCCTAAGAAGCCCCTAAAACATGGAGCAGGCTGCAAAATTCCCTGCAGCTTGAAAGCTTTATCTCCCCAAGTCATTTCAAAGCTCAATTGGTTTTCTAAGAGATTGATTCTATAAATGGTCAGTGTTTTAGCAGTTTTATGTATTATTAAAAGGTTTTTTGTGCTATTTATATATAATGTTTTAATTGTTTGCATATTTTTTTTATTTCTAATTTTTACTTCCCTGGTAAAGAAAGGTTTAATAAACAAAACAAAATTATACATTAAATATTTTGACTGTATGTAAGTTGGCGACCAGAGGCAAAGCTATGGATCAGATCGGGATAGTTAAAACATATATATGTTTTAAATACAAAAGTGGAGCATTTCTTACATATTCTATGTTGTCAGTAGCTGTCAATCATAGGCAGGACTAGAATTTCTTGTCCAGTTGTAACCATAAATGTTTTCCAAACTTGCATCAACCAGGAGCTTAATGGTCTGGCTACATATGATAAATGTGTTTTGTTTTGTTTTTTTCATAGGAGCTGCTAGTAGATCTCGGCTGGGCAAGCAAAAAAAGAGAAAAAGGAGAGGAAGCGGATGGAGGGAGCACACAGACAGATGGAAGCAGTGGAGACGATTGTGATGATGAGGATGGCTGTGAAGCATCTGGTGAGGAGAGCGGTGAGTCACATGTGCACACAAACACAAAGACACACGTAGGAAGAGAGGCCTAAACAATTGCAAACACACACCCACATCCTAGTGGAAATAAATTCTCTGTTCATGCTAAACTCAAACTGTTTATTCACACATACTTAAAAAATTAGCAAATGTACAAAGACATATGGTTCAATGACCTTGGAGATTATGTCAGCCTGGAACCTTCTCATTGTGCCAGGAGGGAAATGCACAGATGGGGGGTGAGGAGGTGGGGGTTTAAGCCCACATTGTCAGGTTTTGATGTCCCCTCACTCCCCACTCTTTTAACTTCCTGCATTTCACTTTCTGCTGATCTCTGCAGTTTATTTCTTTCTCATGTCTGATAAATGAACTAACAACCATGTTGCCTCCAAAAACATAAATGTAAAAATAAACTGTGATTATTCATGGTGGTTGAGCATATGCATAAAACATGGCAGTCACAGGGAGATCTTGAGATCAAGGGAATCTTCTGCTCTTTGATTGAATTCCACAAAGGGAGTGCAACTAAAATGCTGATATAATTTAAATTGTAGATGCGAAAATCCCGCTACGTATTTATAGATGCTCAAATGTAATTTTTCACTTCTTGAACCCATATTCACATACAAATTAAAGCTTTTTGTGTTAAATTTTAGTAAAGAAGCACACATGCTGTGTGCTACCAAAAACATCTGCAATTGACAGTTTGTGTTGGATTTATCATAATCCATAACATTAAATTGTTATGGATTATTTTGGGGTTTTTAAAGGCTCAGGTACATAGTAGAGGTGGCGTACTGTAGTAGTTAAGGATGTCAGATGGTCATCAGAAGATGCTCAAGAGGAAATATAAAACTAACTGCAGATTCTGAACATTTTAGGAGGCTTTTGGTTCTGGACAAGATGGTGAGATCACAGATTTCAGGGATAGATTTCAGTCTGAACTGGGTCCAAAATTTGTAAAATCTATGAATTAAAACAACAAAAGTAGTTCCCTGTTACATCACTTCTCTATAACAACATAAAATCTTCCAGTATTTGCTTGATACGCTTTTGAAAACAAAAAGTTTCTGCATATTCATATGCTCAGATCTAAGTTTTTTGCTCTGCAATGAGAACAAATTTCATCAGATTTGTATCTGAAGTTTTCCGGGTTTTTAAGAATCCATAACTTCTTTTAAATAAATTTCCAGTCCCCTTTCTAAACCCTATTGTTTTTATAGGATTTGTATTTTTGTATATTTTATTATTTTTATCATACAATTCATTAGAAATCACAGAATAAGAATAAAAAATCAGAATAGGAAAATAATATGTAATTACATAGATACGCAGAGGTACTAATCAGGCTATACTTGGCATTAAGCATTTCTTTTTCTTTTTTGTCACCTGGCCATTCAGATGTACAAGAATTTTTTTCTAATGGTTGTAACATTAAAATTATGAAAAAGCTTCAGATTTTTTAATTGAACCCGTGTGTTTTTAAAATCCTTAGAATATTAATGGATAAATTAATTATTTCTATGTCAAACATCATATGTCCCTAATGTTAACAGATCATGTTGGTGGCCCAAGATATTGGAAGAAAGTGGGGTTTAAAAAAAAAAAAACAGAAACAAATATTTGTTTTTCAGTATTTTACATACCAATGACCTATCTGGGAATATCAATAAAACATTGAATTTAAAAGTATCAATAGCTTAATGCCACCAAAAAGAAGCTGCCTTACGTATTTCAAAAGCGACATTAATTAACTTAGAAATATAAACTGAAGGACTGAATAAGTCTTCTGTTATTAAAAATAGACTTTGATGAAAGGATAGGTGGCTTTCAACTTTTCAGAGAAATTATGATTCTACTGTAAAATATGCTTTTATTTTAAGGCTTTTTATAAAGGTTTAGCAGGGGTGCTGAAATTCTTATTATTTTCAAGCCAGAGTATGGATTATGAAAAAAAAAAAGATTTCATTCGTTTCAGTATAAAGTAAAAAGCTGTGGTGTGATACTAATGGTGGAAGAGGTTTCATATAAACTTACTGTATAGTCACAGTAAAGATGAATCAAAAAATAGATTTAAAATATTCTTTCTATTCTTTTAGACATGGCCTAATTTGAAAATATTGTTTTGGTTTAGAATGAATGTAAATAAAAGGCAGTATCCTGCACAAAGTCCACGTTTTTTCCTGTTAATTCTGACCATATTTTGGTACACAAATCCTTTAATAGCTTCCCATACTGCTATTTTGTTTTTATTTTTATGCAGCGGTAAGTCCAGCAGCCCAAACCAATCTTTAGGTTAAAAAAGCACATTTGCATATTAACAGGTTCCCAAATGAGAAGAAAGAACATCTTTACAGAGATAGACTTTCCATGAAACCACAATGGTTTCTTCTGATTACAGAAGCTAAGCCTACTTCTCGTTTCATATCATTAATCGTATGTAACGCTTGTTTGTGTTGTGAGGGATTTCTTTATGGGTAGCACATCTGAATAGCACAGAGGTTTTATCATCTGAGATCAAATAATGCAATGCTTCAAGAGATTGATAGACCTAATTTAGGATTTATTCTTCTGCAACACCACCTAATTACCTGTGACCAGAGGCCTCGTCCCTCTTATTGTTCAAACAACCTGGCAGTGTCCTTTCTGCTCCCCGAGGCACCGTGTAACAGGGTTAAAGGTTATTGGTACATTCATCACTTCTGCAATGTCCTTGTCATTACTGGAGTCATGAATATCTTTTTGTCGAGTTAAATAAAACTCGAGTGAAGCTTACTGATCCTGCATGATTCTGTATTGGTGATTTGTGGTTTACTGAAATGCAGACCCAAGCAAAGCAAGCACGTTTTTCTTTTCATTTTTGTAAGCTAGGGAAAAAAAAGTGCTGAAGGCTATAATAGCAAAACTGCTGGTATTTTCAGAGCAGGATGCATTTATTTTCAACATGATTATCCATTAAGTCTTTTTTCATAGTTACTGTCTCACAGTGACATGGGTGGATCATGGCAATTCATTAATCATTTATCAAACTGATGATGCGACTCAAGTATATATTAGCATTAATATCAGATTTATAAAATACTCTAATGTTTTCACAACAGATCATGTTTGTAATGTTGCTTCTCTGGCAGACCAGTACAGCTATGCGTATAAAGATAGGATAAAATTTGGTTACTGTATTACTAAGATAATAAAACTTGTAGAAGTGGATTGGATTCTGTTAATACATTGTAACTTTAGTAAAGTTTTGAATTTTTTATCGAAGTATAATCAAATGTACAATAATAAAACATTATAGTTTACTGTTCAAAATATATGAGATGTGATGCAGGTTTTCGTTTTTATATTATTGTCAAAAAAGGAGCATTTCCATATGTACATAATTCATTTTGCACATTATAAAAAAAATTCAACAATTGACTTGATACATACAAGTATAATTTCTCAGTCATCAACATGTTTTCCCTCTCACATTGTTTAGTTTGAAGCAGCTCTCCATGCCACATTTGCTTTGAAATTTTTGTTTTGCTTTCTCATTTAACAGATTTTAAACTTAAGCAGTAGCTGAGGCTTTTTAGAGACTTCCCACTGACCTTGATGTGTCACATCTGTGGAAACTTACACCTCTTTCTGAGATGAATGTAGTTCATTGGCTATTTGCTGGAAACATTGCTGGCTTTGATTTACTGAGCATGTGTCTGCATATTAAGATCACATCACTTCAAAACTTGGAGGCAGAATCATAAAAACATTGACAAAGAGGATTTTATGAACTTTTTCCATGCTTACTTGCTATTGCATATATACAGGGTGGACATGTTTTTATGCCATCTACTTGTACAATTTATGTATTTTTAGCACATTAAATTATAATTTAGATTATTAATATTATTTTTCAAAAAGCAAAAACTGTTATACAAATGTGCTTCATTCCATGTGAAAGAAAGGTGCAAAGTTTAGTGACCCTCTTTAAAACATCTTGAAACCTTATAAATGTAAACAGATCCATGAATCCAAATCCTGAAATGTGAGACAATGAAAAAAAGATGAATAGACCTTAGGGTTCATCATCTGGACTTGGGGCCTTTTTTGGTTCAGTGTCTCTAGCTGCCTCTTCATTTCACTTATAGAGACAGACAGGTTGACAGGAGGTTAAACTGAGCAGGACCATATTGTGGTGGAATTGAGAAAAAATGCAAAAAAAGCAAAAGGGTCTATGTAGGAGAGCAAGGCTAATATCTTTTTTATTATTCTTACTGTCATTGAAAAACACACTGCTGGGAATAAGTAATTTTTTTCACATGCCCTTTGCAATACAAAGTATTGCACACTGTAATCAATCCCTTTGTTAAATGATTTGATATTTAGTTTTTTTTAATTGAATGTCCTTCATCATTAATATCAAATATTCTCATCTCAGAGTGGGAGAGTATCTCGCTTCGTGTTGTTTAGAGATAAAAAAAAATATATACAATTAAAAGGTTAGAACTTAAAAAAAAGAAGATAGATGGATAGATAAATGGATAGATGGATAGATAGTGAGAGATAGTTCCCCCTCACAGTTTTCTAAAGTTAAACTTGATGAAAATCATTGATTTTCTTTTTTCCAGTGATGCATTCCCCTCTGCAGGTCTTCACTTAGGCATGACAAAGTGCTAAAATGTCAATAATATAAATGTAATCATGTCTTGTAGTCTCATTGCCTCTTTTTCTTTATTTTTTCTCTGTAACGAATGAAATCCCAGGCAGTGTAATTACAGAGATTTAGGGTGGACTATGACCTCCAAGTCCCTGTTATTTGCAAGACAACCACTTCTACCTGTTTGGAAAGACCCAAACCTTCTCCATGAACAGACCTAAAGTTTTGTTTTCCTTTGCTTATACTTAAGGAAATACAGTCAGACTTGCTTTGTATTCAACAATGATTTATATGTATTTTTTGTGCATTTTTAAGAGAATGTGGGATTGTGTCCTCACAAAGAACCAGCTGTAAGCAGAGT